TTGATTTCTAAGTGTACCCGAAAGTGGTGATAAAGTACCCGGGTATACCCGTTCCTGGTTACGTCTCTAAAAAAAGTGGACTTCATTACCCGGGTGGCCTTTAACACCCGCCGCTACTCTATTGCTGTTGTTTTTTTCTTTTTTTCTTAATATGACACAACGACTCTCCCATCATTGGACTCTGCCGTCTGCCCCTCTGGCCCCTATCCTCCACTTCTACTGGCTAGACGACCCAACCGGGGTCACATAGAGGGGGGGGTTGGACCCCCTCCTGCGGTTCATGCCTGAGGTATTTTTATCGCGAGAAGGGTACAGCAATCCCTTCCCTCGCAACGTACGAAGTCGATTATGGTTTACTAACAAACGAGCTTTGCAGCGCGTCGCTTTCATCCCAGACCAGGATTCATTTAGTAAGAAAAAAACTCTCTCTACCGGGACTCGAACCCATGCCCTGGCCCTTAGCAGGCTGCAAGGCTACCCACTAGACCACCGGAGCGACCGGGTTGTGTAGATCTCTGGAGTGGTTGTGTTGCGACTTGAATAATACTGCCGAAGAACTGGGTGCGTCACACCAAAACCGGCCTTATATAGAGTGCGCGGACGCCCTAATCGGCCTTAAATAGGGACTATGCCTGTTTAAGGCCTGCTCGGCCTTAAAAAAGGAAGGCAAGTGTGACAGACGATTTCACCGGCCTTAAAAAGGGCCACCGGCCTTAAATTTGCGGCCTTAACCAGGAACCTCTATCTACTGTATTCGTACGTTTGTATGTCCTTTACCTGGAATGGTGTGGAAAAGATGGTTTCGTCCTCGACAGACGTTGGGGAGTTTCAACCTTTATGAAGGTGGTCTCCACATTACCCCCCCCCTTTTTCGAGGCTTCTTCTTGTTTGCCAGGCAAGAGAAGGNATCGGCCTTAAATAGGGACTATGCCTGTTTAAGGCCTGTGCGGCCTTAAAAAAGGAAGGCAAGTGTGACAGACGATTTCACCGGCCTTAAAAAGGGCCACCGGCCTTAAATTTGCGGCCTTAACCAGGAACCTCTATCTACTGTATTCGTACGTTTGTATGTCCTTTACTTGGAATNTTCGTACGTTTGTATGTCCTTTACCTGGAATGGTGTGGAAAAGATGGTTTCGTCCTCGACAGACGTTGGGGAGTTTCAACCTTTATGAAGGTGGTCTCCACATTACCCCCCCCCTTTTTCGAGGCTTCTTCTTGTTTGCCAGGCAAGAGAAGGTCTTCTTGGGGTAACCGGAACCCGACCGGCTGGCGGCGAGTAGAACCACCTTTTTTCCAACCATTTTCTGTGCGTGTGTGCGGGTGAACCACTTCCGCCACGCGTTGCCAGAAGTTTCGAGTTCGATCGACAGTGCATCGTTTCTTGGCCCACCCACCGTTTTTCTTTTTCCGTACTCCGGAAGAAAATTAGGTGAGCAGCGGGTTTTGAACCCGTGTCTTTTGCAACCAAAAGCAGACATGGGTAACAGGCTCAACAAGGCAGTTTGGTAGCCATCTTGTGTATATATCTGTATGTTATGTTGGGAAGCTGTAGACGGAAGATTAAGGGGAACTCGGTTTGTCGGGTGTTCTATTATAGCACCCTTATGTGGTTGCGGAGCACGCGAAAGGGGAGCGGAGGAAGAGTGAGGTCCCGATAAGCTCGAGAGAGCTCGAGAGGTTCCACCGCATAGGTTCCACCGCATAGTAACCGTCATGGTAAAATACCTAGACTATGCCCCTACCTGCGTGTTCCCGTTGTTGTCGGCAGATCTACCAGTCCGTATCCAAACACACGAACACCCTCCCTGGTTCGTCACGCAAGTGGCGAATCATCAGTGGGGCATGGATACCCCAGATCTACCTGAAAGAACCAAATCAACAACGGTGGAAAATAGGGCCATCCGGATCAAAAACCCTCGCGTACCCAAATATAGAAACCGTTGCTATCACGGAGGATTCCAACGGCCGCACTTCCAAGACAAAGACCAAATGGCAGGACAAATTGGACCGGTCATGTGACGCGCCGACCAATGCTTCCTGCATGACAAACAATGGCCATAGATGCCCAGCGCTAAATGCAACACAGAAATCAGAACATTCGAGATGCAGTGCTAAAATACAGTAACACAGAAGCCAGGACTACTCCGGGAGGTTCATCAGGGCCTTCCGGTGGTACTCCAGTTTGGTCCTACCAAGGACCTTGGTCAGCATGTCGGCGTGCTGCTCTTCCGTCGGGACACTACTTTGCGGTGATTTTCCCCGGCTTGAAGAGCTCGCGGATAAAGTGGTACCGCACGTCGATGTGCTTGCTCCTCGCCGAGCTGAAGGTTCTGCACCACCAGAGCAAGAAGAGCTCCCTTGTTGTCTTCAAGGACTTTGATCTTCGCCCCACTCGTCTCAGGCGCTACGAAAGACAGAACCGCACGCACATTCAACGCCTCCTTCACTCCCTCCCCGGCTGCTAGGTACTCTGCCTCCGAGGATGACTGCGCCGGCACACGCTGCGTCTTTGTGGTTCCGTTCACCGTGCTACCACCTACGGTTACGGCTAGTCCCGTCGTCGAACGCCTGTCAACAACATCGTCAGCGTAGCTGGCATCGACCCACACTCCTAGATCTAGCCCTGCTCCCCGCACATAGGTGAGGCTCAGGTCCTTCGTGGCGTTAAGGTAAGACATGACCCTCAGAAGCGCCTGCCATATCCTGTCGGTGGGAGAGTGAGCCACCTTCAGGATCTTGCTCAACGGCAGAGCGATGTCCGGCCTCTTGTGCACCACCCACATCAGGCACCCGAGTGCCTCCCTCACTGGCTTGTCCACCGTGGGCTCGTCATCTCGTTTCGGCCCTAGGTCAGCACCGGGGACAGCAGGCGTGGGGGCGGTAGTAGTCACGTTAAACCGCTTGATGATGCTCTCGATGTACGCCGTCTGGGACAACTTGGTGATGCCGTTCTCGAGGTCCATCTCAATGCCAATCCCATCATACCACGTGCATTCTCCCAAATCCTTCACCGGAAACTTCTTCTGGAGGGAAGCAAGCAACTCTTGACGCTCTTGCTCGGACGCCACCAACAAAATGTCGTCTACGTAGATCACGATTAGACCTACGACCTCTCCGTCAACCATCCTACGGAAAACACACGGGTCAGCCCTGCACTGCTCGTACCCATTCGCGATGAGGGCATCAGCAGCTTCAAACCCCCACTCGCGACCGCTTTGTTTCAGGCCATACAGTGCACGCTCAACCTTGCACGCCTTGCCAGACATGTCACCACAACTCTGGGGAAGCCTGATAAAAATCTCTTCTTTGAACTTAGCGTGAATGTACGCTTGTTTAATGTCCCAGTGGAACATCTTCTTTTTCTTCTCGGTGGCTACAACAATCACGGTTTTGATGGGNTGTTTCAGGCCATACAGTGCACGCTCAACCTTGCACGCCTTGCCAGACATGTCACCACAACTCTGGGGAAGCCTGATAAAAATCTCTTCTTTGAACTTAGCGTGAATGTACGCTTGTTTAATGTCCCAGTGGAACATCTTCTTTTTCTTCTCGGTGGCTACAACAATCACGGTTTTGATGGACGTCGTAGACGGGCATGCAGAAGCTGAGTGGTGGAAATCTACCCCCGGAATCTGTGAGAAACCACGCGCAACCATACGGGCTTTGAAGGCGGTGATCATACCCTTTTCTTCGTCTTGTACGAAAACACCCACTTCGTACTCACTGCCTTCCGCCCCTGGGGAAGTTTTCCAATTTTCGTGAAAGTCCCCGCCTTGTCTAGACCACCCTTCTCTTTCATCATCGCCGCTTCCAAAAACACTTTGTACTTGGAATCCATCGCATCTTTGTATGTGAGCCGGACAGCCTCTACATCGTTAGGCTTCTGCCCGATCGGCGAGGGAATACTTAGCTCTGGTTCAAGGAGTGGTTGCGGAGACCCGTCGTCCTTTTCGATTGCACTGAATGCCAGCTCCAGCTCCCCTGCATCACGATGGAGCGCCTTCACTAGATCGTACTGTAACTGCTTCTTCAGCTCCTCACGGTGCGCCTGCTGGTCTTGCATTCGCTCCTCCAACAGCGATTGCGGATATATTCCGCAACGATCTCCGGACCGTTCTCGGTCTCCAGGACGGTTGATAACAGCGCCTCCTCGGGGGCTAGCNTCTACATCGTTAGGCTTCTGCCCGATCGGCGAGGGAATACTTAGCTCTGGTTCAAGGAGTGGTTGCGGAGACCCGTCGTCCTTTTCGATTGCACTGAATGCCAGCTCCAGCTCCCCTGCATCACGATGGAGCGCCTTCACTAGATCGTACTGTAACTGCTTCTTCAGCTCCTCACGGTGCGCTTGCTCGTCTTGCATTCGCTCCTCCAACAGCGATTGCGGATATATTCCGCAACGATCTCCGGACCGTTCTCGGTCTCCAGGACGGTTGATAACAGCGCCTCCTCGGGGGCTAGCGCCTCGCTCGGCTCTTTCTCGGAGCTCCGCAACTCCCGGGTNGCGCCTCGCTCGGCTCTTCCTCGGAGCTCCGCAACTCCCGGGTCTGCTTCCGGGTGCGGCCGGGCTGGAGCACATGGCGCAGCTGGCCGGCGCTCGACGCTCCCCAAAGAAGTTTCTTCCCTTCCGTTCCTGACGGGTAGCGGCTGTCGGCGGGGTTGTACTTCAACTCCTCGAGCGTCTCAGGGTCGCCGCCTTCATTGCCGTCACGATCGTTCTCACCGGGGTCGCCTGCGGCGCCTNATGCCAATCCCATCATACCACGTGCATTCTCCCAAATCCTTGCCCGGAAACTTCTTCTGGGGGTTCCTTCACCATCGTTCTCACCGGGGTCGCTTGTCTCGCCGCCGCCATCGTCATCGCTGCCGGGGTCGACGGCCTCGCTGCCGTCACCGTCATCGTTGCTGCCGTCGTGGCTAGATGTGTCCCGCCGCTGCTCTCATCACCAGAGTCGCCGCTGAGTGGCTCGCTGCCGCCTCCGTCGTGGTTGTTGGAGACGTCGCTGGGGCCACTACTGTCGTTGCTGTTGCTGCTGTTGTCGGCGGGGTCATCGCCACCGCCGAAGTCACCCCCTCCCGAAGTGGGCGACGAAGGACCTCCGCCTTCGTCCCCCTACATCCCATTTCCGGGTGCCGCAGGCGCCCCCATGCGCACGAGCGGAGTCGCTTGCCCCAGCCCACGAGCGTCGTCTACGTCGAGGTCGGACTCACTCCTCGAGTCTTCTTCCCCC